TAATTTTATATTCCTCCTGGGCAGGTCCCAGGAAAGGACCAAATCATTCACAAAGTGCTTTGGAATCTTTGCACTCTTGTCTTTCAAATACCATCAGGCAAAGCTGGGGGACCCTTGAGAGATCTAAGACCCCCTCCTTCATGGGGATGTGTATCATTTCGCATTAAGTTGACAGCTGGAGAGTATATGAAATAAGGTCTCCCCTCCCCCACCCCTTTTCAAAGAAGTTCTAAAATCCAGAAAATCACCCCAAAATTTTAACCTATATCCCCTTGGGATGGGCATTAAAAAAATAATTTCTAACATCCAAATAGAATTTTATTCCAATTAATGTGTTGTTGAAACGATCACAGTAAAGTACACCATGAAATAATACTTCTTCCCAATTGTAGCAAACACCCAGGAGTTTGGTAGGCTGGGGACACACAGCGTTTTGTTTGCAGGGTTGGACACCCAGTTCCCCCTCTGTAAGGCCAGCACTTCAGTTATCCATGGCTAGCTCCAACCTCTCTTCTTGCTTTGAAATAAGACTTCCCAGCCCAAGCAAATGCCTTTTCGCAGTGAAACCCCAATACTGAAGAAATGCAACTGAAGCCTTCATCCTTCTCCCTGCCCCTATGCCACACTCTTCAGTGCAGGTAGAGGGGTCAGAACAATGCTTGGGTTTGTGTGACTGCCCTGGGGCGAGCAGATTTCAGAGAATTCGTGTTGTCCGTGGGCGGCAGGCGGGTGAGGTGTGTATATGCCGCCTTGGAAAGGTCAAAGGAAACAAAGGGGGGAAATGTATGTTACATTCTGTGACACTGGGTGTGGGCTTCTGCCACAGAAAACAGCTCACCCTGCAGTCCATGAGAGTGTTCGATGAAAGACACAAAAAGGAGAATGGGACCTCGGATGAGTCCTCCAGCGAACAGGCAGCCTTCAACTGCTTCGCTCAGGCTTCTTCTCCGGCAGTCTCCACCGTAGGGACGTCAAACCTCAAAGGTAGGGTTGGTCACCTCTGTGATGATTGGACTGCAGCTCTTGGTGGCCTGGAAGAGTGAGGAGGATGGGGCACAGACCAGGGTACTTGTCCTTTAAAAGCTTCAGACCCTTCTAGAAGAACCAAAGTTCAAAAAGGGCTATCAGTTGTATACCACCCCCCCACACACACACACACACACACACACACTTCCCTAAGGTAGTATAAGGACAGCTCAGAACCCCTTCCACCAAATCCTTATTTGCCTTGGGGGGGTGGGTGTCTATTTGTATGTTACCTCTTGGCTGAAGCAGCTTTGAAAAACATGCCTGAAGCACTTCTTTCTCTCTGTCTCTCTCCACCCACTCTCCAATCAGGTGAGTCTTCCAACTGCTGACTTTTCACCATCTTTGAACTCTAGGTTAAACTGTGTTAGGCTGGAGAAAGGGAGGAATTCTCTGCTACCTAGAGCAGGGAAGGTGGCTGAGAAAACATCCACCTATAGAGCAACCATTGACCTGGGAGAGGAGGTGGAGCATTGGGGATCTGCAGGGCTGATGGAGTCTGGGGGTGGGAGTGGACGAGGTGGTTCGAATCCCTAGTCAGTCTCCTGTGTTTAATGAGAAAGCGCTATTTATTTGGAAAGACACACACACTGTCAACAGGAAGAAACCTGTTTTTTAGTGAAATCAAATGAAAGTCCTTTATGTCTTCAATCCATTTAAGCCTTAAACATAAAATAGGATCCTTTTTTCTTTTTGCTGGTAGGACACCCACAGAGGGTGTGGTGAAAGCAAAAAAGAATCAGAATTGTCCCCAGGCAGTGAGCAGCCTGCCCAGCACCCATCTCTGTGTGCAGAGACTGGGGAAAACTGGGAGAAGGCCCAAGTGTAGTGTGTGTCTTGAGGGAGGGGTGTCCCTTTTGCCATTACCAATTCAGATGCCAGGGCCCTCTCCAAACAAATCCTTCCAGAATAATTCACAAATCTGTGGAAGGTACTGATCTCTGTCACTCACTAAACAAAGACACTGGGAGTCATTGGAATATGTTCCACCAGTGACTTTTAAAGTTAGTTTTTATTTTTAAAGAGCTAATTTGC